GGAATATTCCTTTGGGTTCTCATAGCAACTTATCCCAGAGATGTGAAAAACTTTCCCCAAGGCCACCCAGCTAGTTAGCAGTGTAATTACTTTCCACCTATCAAAGAACTATGTTGATTTTCTTTTGTCTTGCCTTCTTGATACAGAGTTACAAACCTTCCTTTTAGTTTCTGGTTATTTATATTATGGAATTTCATGGAAATTCCTGCCTAAGGAATTTATCACTCATCCCTGTTGGAATCCACTTCTTCCCCATTTTCCTGCAGGCCATATAGTATAGTAGAAAGAGAAAGGCTTTTTAGAAACAGGCAACTTGTTAAGCAACTTTTTAAAGATAAAAGTCTAGGGAGCTATCTTAGTCCTTTTAGCTTCAGTTCCTGCTTCAAGAAAGAAAGAAAGAAAGAAAGAAAGAAAGAAAGAAAGAAAGAAAGAAAGAAAGAAAGAAAGAAAGAAAGAAAGAAAGAAAGAAAGAAAGAAAGAAAACAATAGATTTCACCTAGTGTTGTTTGATTAATGATATAGTACATGTGTAATCTGAATATTCTAGTCCTTATTAAGTTGCCTAAAGTTTCTGCTTTGTACAGTATTTCATTCAGTAGAAATATACATCCACTTCCAAGAGCCCTATGAAATCATAGATGTGATTACTGAAGTGTATAATAAAGAGAAAGAGTGAAGCAATCCCATTACTCAGTATTACCAAGGCTTCCTAAAAATTCTCTTCTCTGCCAAATTCTGGTTCATAGGGCAGCTACTATAACTTCCATCCAAAAATACTGCCTTCTCCCTTATGTCCCTGCTTCACTGACATGTCACCTGGTCCTGCAGCATGACAGTTTTGTGGTCTGAATTTGGTAAGGAGCCACTGCCTTAATTATACCTGAAGAAGGTTTCTTTTGTTTTTTTTTGTTTTTTTTTAGATTTATTTGAAAGGCAGAATTAGATGAGGGGAGGGAGGGAAGGAGAGAGAGAGAGAGAGAGAGAGAGAGAGAGAGGATGAATGAGAATTAGTCTTTTTTTTTTTTATTTACTCCCCAAGTGGCCAAAACAGCCAGGGTAAGCCAGACTGAAGCCAGAAGCCAGGAGCTTCATCCAGGTCTCCCATGTGGGTGACAGGGGCCCAAGAACTTGGACCATATTCTGCTGTTTTTCCCAGGCCATTTGCAGGGAGCTGGATCAGAAGTGGAGGAGCCAGAACTCGAACTGATGCTATCCTACAATACCAGTGCAAATAATTTCTTTTTTAACTTACAGATTTTAAATTAATAGAACCGGGGCCGGCGCCATGGCTCACTTGGTTAATCCTCCGCCTGCAGCACCAGCATCCCATATGGGCATCGAGTTCTAGTCCTCATTGCTCCTCTTCCAGTCCAGCTCTCTGCTGTGGCCCGGGAAGGCAGTGGAGGATGGCCCAAGTGCTTGGGTGCCTACACCTGCGTGGGAGACCAGGACGAAGTTCCTGGCTCCTGGCTTCAGATCGGCGTAGCTCTGGCCGTAGCAGCCATTTTGGGGGTGAACCAACAGAAGGAAGACCTTTCTCTCTGTCTCTCTCTCTACTGTCTAACTCTAACTGTCAAATAAAAAAATTAATAGAACTGATAAAAGTCCATGAGAAAATAACCTCAAGATGAAGGTCTGTGTAGTGATGTTCACAAATAGACAATCCACATGGCTTTACTTCAGTGATGTCCTTCAATCTTAGAACCATTTCTTCATGTGTGTGCCTTTGGTGGGCTAATTTCATTCTCATCTTTGCTTTTTGTATTTATTGCCTCTCTTTGTTCCTTTTTCTTACCTACTTCTAGTTTATTTACCTTATTTTATATATCTTTAGAAGCTGTCATACATTCTTTGTGAATAAGGAAGAATATGAATAAATGATGGTCATGTCTGGTGCTATTTTCTATGCCCATGTTCCAAATGAAAAGCTGCAGTGACTCACATTTTTAAATAATTAAGTATATTCAGAGACAGTCACAGATTCTGAGACAGAGCCACAGTCCAACATTTAGGGCTTCTTCGAGGTGCGACACTTTGCAAGTTCACCAGTGGTTTGTCATGTAATGCCAAGCTGTGAATTCAGGCTCCTGACCTGAATTCATGTATTTGTCTGGCACAACTGTTGTTTACACAATTGCAATACTACATCTCCTGCCATTAATATTCCTTGGGTAATGAATAACTTATGATTTTATCTCATTTGAATCTTTCAATTCTGCATATAGGAAAATAAAAAAAATTTTTGTTTTTAGGACTTGGTCTGAAACTATGAAACAGATGTGATAAAATGTTGCTTTTCATTATTGCTTGCTAGATAAGAGTAAATCTAGCCAAGCCTTATTTCAAAAAGAACTAGTGGAAGGAACAATTCTTCATTTAATACAAACTCTCAGTCTGCATTGTTAAGTGGGTAGTACTGAATACTTAACAGGTGGCTTAGCAGTTGATGCACAAAGGAAAAGAATTATTATAATACCTTAATTGCTTGTAGACATCCTGGGTGGGAAGATTCATGCTTCTTGTGTTTCAGAGTGCAGGGTTCACTTTTTATGTGCAATGATTGTTTTATTCCTGATGGAAATGTCTATAAGTAAATCTAAATGGGTTTTGATTTGTGACCAGGATAATTTCAACGGGGGGGTGGGGTGTAAAAGTCTGTCAATATACGAAAGAAAATGAGAGTGGTAGAAATGCAATGACTTTTTTATTCCTACCTAGTGAAACTAAGAGAATGTGACTGAAAAATAAGCACAAAGAACATGGCATTAGTATGTCAGAAGTATCTGTTTCATGGTAGGATTTTTTCTGAAAATGGCATTTAATTCTCTCCTCAAATTAGGCCTCAGTTTTTAAATATCACAGTCCTGTTATTAAATGAGACTTATTGGTGCACTTAGAAACATTACAAAGCTTTATTTTAGACTGGGTAACTTGCTGTGGTCCCTTCCTCCATATTCTACTGATGCTAGCCTAAGTGTTTGAGAGTGTATGGTAGTAAGTAATACTACCCTCCAAATAAAATCACATTAGAATGTGAATTGTTTTGTGAGTTTTATTATCAGCCCCTAAATTACAAATATGAGCCCTTAATGAAATAATGATTCCAGACAATCATCTTTAATGATTGCTAACCTAACAGAGGGGTGGCTAAAGACAGTGTGACCCCTAGTGGAAGTTTATAATATATAAAGTACTTTTGGTTTAAAAAAAAAAAAAACCTAAAGTTATAGCAGCTGTAGCTCCTATACATGATACCAGTTTATGTGAATAAAGGAGAAAGGGGGTAGAGAAGAATAAGACCCAACAGAAACTCAACCATCAAAATCTGAACACCAGAAACTCTATAGTAAATCTGATGTCTATACCTAATTAATTAACTACAGAGGGAAGAATAGGGGAAAACTTTGTATGAAAAGAGACTTGCTGGAAATATCAAACAAAAATGATACATACACCTCCTTATGTGGAATATCATTTGAACAAAACAACTGTAGTGTTTTTTTAATTGTTACATTTGGGGGCCAGCTTGTGGTACAGTAGTTTAAGCAGCAGCTTACAATGCTGGCATCTGTGTTGGAATGCCATTTCCAGTCCTGGCTACTCCACTTCCAATCCAGCTTTTTGTTCATATGTCTTGGAAGGTAGTGGAAAGTGGCCCAAGTATTTGAGCCCCTGCCACCCATGTGGAGTTCCTGGCTCTTGTCTTTGGCCTGGCCCAGACCTAGCTATTGTGGCCATTTAGGAAGTGAACCAGCATATAGAAGATCTCTCACTCTCACTCTCACTCTCTACCTTTCAAATAAATAAATAAATCTATTCAAATTGTTATCTTTGGGGACATGATAATTCTGACTGCCTATTGACTATTAAAGAATCACTATCAATTTTAGGTATAATGATAGAGTTGAGATTATACTTTTAAAGTCTTTTTTAGAAAGATTTATTTACACTTTTAAAAGGCAGAGTTACAGAGAGAAAATGGGAGAGATAAAGAGAGATTTTTCCATCTGTTGGCTCACTCTTCAAATGGCTGCAACAGTTGGTATTGTGCCAGGCCAAAGCAAGGGCCAAAAGCTCCTTCCTGGTCTTCCACATGGGTGGCAGGGGCCCATGTACTTGGGCCATCTTCAGCTGTTTTCCAGGCACATTTTCAAGGGACTGGATTGAAAGTAGAGCAGCCAGGTGCCCAAACAGTAATACCAGTTCCTACCTACATCAGTAGGGATAATTCCATCAAACACTTAGTGATGTCCCTAGAATATAATAACTACTCAATAAATAGTAGGCATCATTAATAAAGTTTCATACCTTCCTATTTAAAAGAAATAAAGAAGGAAGGAAGGAAGAGAGAGAAGGAAAGAAAGAAAAGAAAAAAGAAAGAAGAATAGCCAGGATAGGAATCAGCACTGGCACTGGGATGCTGGCATTGCAGGCAGCAGCTTAACTCATTGCACCACCACATGAGCACCAAACGTCTTTGTGTTTTAGAAATGTATACTTTAATTCCATGAATGATATGATGAAAAGTTTGTAATTTGTTTCAAAACAGTTTGATCCCTGGAAGGTGTTGTTTAAATGAAAGAAGATGGGCCATGGGTTGGTTATTAATGTAGTTTAGCAATGCACTTGGTGATGTGATTCATTGACCTCTTTTTCTACATTTTTGTTTTGAATTTTCCAGAATCAAAGGCAAACATATTTTAAGTCCTCATTACACATACATAAATGACATATTTTTATAAAAACTCAGATTCTGTTCTGACAATTTTAAGCCTAGACCTGAAGTGTTGTTTCCCTGAAGCCTTCCTTAATCCCCTCATACTGGATTATCTGGTCTTCATTTGTGTTCATATAGTGCTCTGGGATCATTTCTCTTACTTTTGACAGTATGTTGTAATTCTGTAATCACCATAGTGTGGAATAGTATTTTCTTGTGTTTTTTTTTTCAAGCAAATAAATACTTTTATTAACATGTCAAGTTTTTTTTTTTCACATGACAGGGTTTTGACCTCAAATATGTCTCAAATAAGCATATAGCTGGACAACATATGAACCTTGAAGATGCTTCCTTCCTGTCCAGCTGGGTCCAATGCAGTCAGTTCTACTCTTCTTTTTGAACCCATCAAGGACCTTCACAAATATCTTTCATTTTATGCGCAGAATCCTCTGAAATGCATCAGTAATTAAAGCAACTTGAATAGAACACAAAGATATTGTCTGTTATTCTAGGTTACATGTCACATACAGCTGAGTTAAGGTTGTCTAAAGAAACTCATGAGACACATTCTATACTACCCAAAATTTAAATTTTGAACAAAATACATCTCTCCTCCTTTAGTCCCACAAAAAAATTAAAGTTTCCAAATACAAACAGCAATATCCTCCACTCTTCTCCTGATTCGCCAATCCTAGCCAGATCAGCCACACCCACGTGCCCGGGTGAAATCTTGCCCTTTCTTCAGCAGGTGCTGCATGGAGCTGTCTTCTAGAATGCATGCAGCTCCTCTGCACCTGCAGAGCCACAGAATTCCACTTCTGAGTCTCCCATGTTGCACAGAGACCCATGGTTCCAGGGCGCTATCAGGTCTTGCAAGAAAGAGCAAAAACACTTCAAAATTTAAAAATAATAACCAAAGCCTGGGAACAAATGTGACTGCCGGGAAAGCTTAAATCTAGGCCTTAATTCCTGAATGTATGAGCACTTTCCAAATAAGAGCTACTTCCCCAAACAAAACATTTAGCAGCCAAAAACTTATACTGAGGTCATAGATCTTAGTATAAACATAGTGTAGTTGAGTACAGAGCACAGACAGAGGAGAAAAGAAAAAACAAGACTCTCAGGTTTTAGCTTCTCCAGGCTGCCAGCCAATCTCCACCCCTTAACCAGAATCCACTGGCTGTGACCACACCATCCTCACAACAACTCACTTTGCTTCTTGCTGCACCAGCATCTCTGTCATCTTTGCCATCTCCCTAACCTTCTCTGTGCTCTCAGCTCTCATGGCCACCACACTGCCCTTGGCTGCCTCACTGGGGCTCTGCAGGTGATTTAGGGCAGTCTCCGCGAAGGCATCCACCTATATCTTAATTGGAGCATATTGTCCATGTGCCACAGCTTGCTCCAGTTCCACAGGTACGAGTACTGGTGCTCACAGATAAACAACATAACAGCCTCCTGCATCTCATTGATGACCGGCATCAGGAACTGCACCAAATCTTGCTCAGACTCTAGTACTTCCACTCCTGCAAGTTTTGCCAGTTTATGATGTCCAAAGGCCATATCTTTTCCCTGATTTGGAACCATGAAATTGATGTGAGCAGAGAAACAGTGAACCATGGAATAATATTTTCCATTGCATCTTGTTTCCCTTCTTCTTGTGCCTTAGTCTTTACCCCCTTCAGCCAGCTACATATTCTGTGTTCATTGCCTCGGAATGGTGATGATAAACCAAACATACAAAGACCGAAAGAGAAGTTGATTCTTGACCTTTGAGGTCCAAAGTCGGGGCATCACAACATTGGAAGAGCTCATGTGGAGATACTGGACTTCATGTGCAGTGTGAGGAGGTAGAAAAGGGTACATTCATAGCCTGGATTCTATGGGATGGAGGATGTGAGAGGAGGGAGACTTAGAGGAAATATAGCCTTGTGAGAAACAGAGATGGCTGGAACTGAGACGGTGACCAGGTCTGGAGGGTTCATGTAGATAGGGCCAAATCCAATCTCTATAGAGAGTGTGATCCATACTTGATCATCCTCTTAGAATGAGAGCTACTTGGCCCAGCAACAGGGAATTAAGTGAAAGCTCAGTCAGCAGAAATGATCATCAAGTCCTCATGCCAGTGTGGCATATACATCACCTCAGCTGCCCTCTTCTTCAGTGCTGAGTTCTCTTACTGTGGGGAAAGGGTGTAGATGGAGGAACTATAACCTGGTTGGAAGCAGAGGTCAGTGGGATCTTGGATGTGGGAGATGACTGAGTTCTAAACCAATAGAGAAAATAGCAAAGAAGTAACAAACAAGAACAGCAGGATTGTGGTTCTTGCTGGTAAATCTGGGACTGGCGATGTAGAATAATGGATAACCCCAGGGGGTTAGATAGATGCAGCCTCTCTCCCCATGGCAATGCTGGATAAAGGGCAGGCTCTCCCTCTGATGTAGGTGAGCTGCCCCATATGATTTTGCTCACCCTATAAGCAAATTTGCTGCCAGGAGGAGAAAGGGAGGCGTTAACATGGATATTCTTGGAATAATCTTCCTGACTTTTTTGCAGGTAGGAAATGACTATATTGACCTATATGATAAAAACAGGATGGAGAGCCAATGATGTCTCATTAATTGTAAGTCTTTTGACATGAAAGAAAACACCAAGAATAGGGAAGAGGCTCTCACCTCCCACAGCAGCCAGCACAGCAAATATTGCTCATCTGGCAGAGTGATATCCATTTACACAAGACTTTGCTCAATACTCATAACACTGATTCAAGGAGATAATCACCATCTTAACACCCTGGGACTCTTGGAATTACCACGAAAGAGACTGTGAGCATCAACCCCAAGGAAGCAGTGGTGGCTGTAGATAAAATTTTATAATATTGTACTTATGCATGAAATTGGTGAAATATATTTCCATCTCATGTATATTTGTCTTCACTACAGGTGTATAATGTTTTTGATGCAAAATAATCAGGTTTAATTCATATCAGAAAGTAGGCACTCAATAAATATTTCTTGAATTTGTATTTTATTAGTGGTATTTTTACCAAGCATATCACCTATCACCGATCTAAATTCCACTTGTTTTATGAATTAACCCTAGATGATTGTATATACTTATATATAGTATCATATATTCTCTACATATATACGATTCTAAATGGCCATCTATTACTTAATGTTGTCAGTAAATCTTTAAAGCAATTAATGTCTTGCAGTGTTAACAATTACCTCATTCCCTTAAGTAGTTTAAATAGTTAGTTAAGGGGGATTATAAATTTACTGGTATTTCTTCCCTTTCATGCCCTACAGATTTAGAAATTAAACAATTTACGTGTTCTAAACATATAATTCAATACTTTACCAACTAATAAATCAGTCCTAACTACATTCACATTTATAGTAGATAAAAGATTTATCAACTTAATAGAAAAGCATTGTACTTAACTGTCAAAATTTGTAGGAGGATTTTAAACTAATAGTTATTTTCTTTATTCCTTCAAGTTGTGTGAGATCTCATGTATACATTTGATCTTTTAGTAGACATTTATCTGCTGTTGACCACTCAGCACCAGTACTGCCTGCACCCTGATTGCATTTAGGAGAACTAATTTCCTCATCTATGTGATCTTGGGGTGAGTGGCAAATCTAGGTATTTGCACTTCCATTCTGGGCTACAAAGTGTGGGTACCTAGAGGCTGCCTCCATTGGATCCTTTTCTGTGTCACTCAAGAACAGTTAAGAGGTGTATGATCTTGTCAGTTTCTTCCAACTTTAAGTCTTGTGTGGAATTATGCAAGGTTGGGGAAAACTGTGGGAGCTCTTTTACTCCAGTGGCAGCAACTGGACAAGGCAGAAAGCAGTTCCTGCTACAAAGACCAAGGGATCACCTGAATGGTTCTATTTCAAGAGTCTTTTTTCAATTTGTGACTCCTCCATAAGCTTTCGATTAATCTTTCAATTTGTGCCTGTGTTTTCTCAGTTTGTGTTGCTTGCTAGTGTTGAACCTTAACTTAACAGCTCGGGAAGAAGCATCACAAAATAGAACAAATCTTGAGCTAAGAGTCATGGGACATGTATTATAGTTGTGATCCTGCAATCAACTTGATTTAAGACTCCGTTCCATAGTATCTTTGGACTTCAGTTTTTTCCATGTAAGAAGTTAATAGGCTAGATTATCTTCAAGCATCAGGGTGTATGCATTGTGTGTGTGGGGTGTGTGTGTGTGTGTGTGTGTGTGATTTACTTTTATTTATTTGAAAGAGAGAGAGAGAGAGAGAGAGAGAGAGAGAGAGAGAGAGAGAGAATCTTCCATCCACTGGTTCACTCCCCAAATGGCCACAATAGCCAGGGCTGATCTAGACTGAAGCCGCAAGCCAGACCTCCACCTGGATTTCCTATGTGGTTGATGGGAACTTAAGTACTTGAGTCACCATCTTATGGTTTCCCAGGCACATTATCTGGGAGCTGGATTGGAGGTTGACTAGCTGAGACTTGAACTGGCATTCCAGTGTGGGATGTGGGCATCTCAAGCAGCAGCTTAGCCTTCTGTGCCACAATATCAGCACCAAGCTTCCATTTTTAAAGCTAGAATTCCATATCATTGTTACTGGTTAGGAATAATTATCAGGATATAGTGATTAAATTACAGCAGTGTTTTGGTTCAATTAATGTTTATAGAAGTTTCATTTGATGTTTTGGAACACAAGGTACTATGAGTATTCTGGATCTGTTAATCCTTGACTAAACATTTTTTCAATAGGTCATCTCTTGAGGAGGGTGACCAGATATTAGAACAGAATCCTGCAACAGAGAATGTAAAGGAAAATGTTCTTGGAAAATATTACCTCATCTCATTGGAATGTTTTTGACTGAGCCAGAATCAAAGATGATTGATGAGGATTGGCTTTAATCCCAGAGAGTAAGAAATGCTGACCCATTACATTAAACTGAAAATAAAATCTGGTCAATGGATAATTACAATAGGGAAGAAACATGACCTTTGAGAAGTCTTGCTGCTGTGCTAAATTTGGAGAACACACACAATTTCTTATTTTGGAATGATTGTCATTGAATGTTTCCTGACATCATTAGGTCTTTCTTTGGTTCTGGTTTCAATTTGGGTTATTCCAGTATGGATTAACACATCCAATGACCCATGGATGGTACAAACCTTCCAGTTATTTCAGATATGAATTAGTCTTTCTAGTTGTTAGACTTGAACTGTATCTCATAGACCAACAACTCAGCAAAAAATACTATAGCAACTCAGCAATTAAAGAAAGTTTGACAATGATCCAAACACATTTAATGATTTCTAAATTAATTTAGAGAGTATAAAATGACTGTAAAATTCACTTTAAGATTACAATTAATGACTTGTGTGGGGTTGCTTGACTACCAAGATCGTTAGCCCTTCTGCAGATGCTTAGTCACACAAGCATAGGCCCCTTTGTTTACCATCTTATTTAAGAAATTTACTTCCACAAAGCTGCTGCTTTTCACTTCTTCAATTCCTGCATTGGCTTTCCATGTAATTCATAGAAGTCAAACGTTGCCAAATGATTTATGACATCCCTCCATGATACTCTGCTACCCCTCTTGTTTCATCTCCTTCCATCTTCCCTTGTTCACTCCACTCTGGCCATGCTGGCCACCTCTCTTGCTGTTCTTTGAATACAACAAACTCATAACTTTCTCAGAGATATTGCTTTGCCTAAGTAAACAGTCCTCTACAACCCTACAGCTATAAGATGGAGCCCACCTTCAAGCCATCCACTGCCACTAGCACTGCATCCTATGCTATGTGAACCAGAAGGTCTCATGGTTGCCAGATTGTTGGTTGCTGAAGTCTTTGATGTGCCAACAATTTACTTTTCACCAAAGCAAATTCTGTATCAGTTTTCTGAGTAGATGCTGGGACACTACACCTGCTGATGTCATCTCCTCATAGGACAGAGTGCAACACCATCATCCATTAGTAATGCTAATCCAGCATTTAGCATGGTGGTTAAGACACCTGTGTCCAATACCGTATTGCCTGGGTTTGACAACCCATTTCCAGATCCTGCTTCCAGCTTCCTGCTAATGCACACCCTGGGAGGCAGCACATTATATCTCAAGTAACTGGGCTTTGTACCCTTTCAGGAGACCCAAACTGAGTCCATGTCCTGGATTGGCAGGCATTTGGGAGAGTGAATCACTAGGTGGAAGAGTGAATAAATCTCTCTCTCTCTTCCCCATCCCTGCCTCATAAATAAAGTTTAACAAAAAAGGATACCTTGGGCCACTGCACCTGCATGGGAGACCAGGAGGAAACACCTGGCTCCTGGCTTCCGATCAGCGCAGCTTTGCCGTTGCAGCCACTTGGGGAGTGAACCAGCAGAAGGAAGACCTTTCTCTCTGTCTCTCTCTCTCACATTGTCAGTAACACTGCCGATCAACTAAATAAATAAAATCTTTTTAAAAAAGATAGTAACTAATATTTGTTGATCACTTACTACATGCCAAAAATATTACTAATTTAATACATCTTTGTGAGATGAACATTGTATTCCACGTTTTATGGATGGCTAAATGAACCTTTGAGTTGACAGTTTTGCCTAAGGTCTCATAGGGAACAAGTGTAGAGGTCAGATTCTAACAAGAATTATTGATTCCAGAAGCCATTAACTTAATAACTGTATAATCAATGCATTTAATTTGACCACTATGTTTGGTTGAGGTGAGAAATCTTATATATTTCTACCTTTTTGTCATTGTAAGCTTAGTGTATCCATGTGTTTACATTTTAAGAATGTAAATATAATTTTATTAAGAGTTCGCTCATTGCACAAGGGGACAGGACTGAGAATCATGTTCTGTACTAAAATCAGAATCAGAACTGATATAAACCGGACATTATAACTGCATGTGACATCACCCCTACATTTAGCAGAATGTGGGAACGTTCATCTGCAGGATCTAAATTCAAACAATGATGAGGATGATGATTATTTTTAAGAGTTGCCTCAGGATTAGAATGGAAAAAAAGCACAAAATTGGCAACCCAAGCTCTTCTGCTCACCACCCCAATTTGAGTTCCAAAGTACTTCTACCTTTTTTTAAACATATTAGATTTTCTGATGAAATTTATTTAGTATAAAGGATTCTGGTACTTAAAAAAGATAAAAATCCCAAATCAAGAGAGTTACTGTTGAGCTTCCTTCCTCTTCCCCTTTTTGATTGGAGTCTGGTAGGGAGTATAATCTAGACTGTGACCTCATGGGGATTTTGTCAACAGGGTTCGTATGTTTGGACAAGGATCCACACAGAGACCCTGTTGCCCCAGCCTTCTGGATAGAGGTTTATTTCCTGGCAAAGATACCTTTGAAATGTTTTATTCAGGTTTCTCTTTTGAAGCATAGGATAAACAAAGCCTTCCTTTAAGTCTATTGTCTTGTCTTTGATTTTTTCTCTTTTCTCCGTGGATAAAAATAATTTTTTAAAAAAATTCCAGCTATTTCTGATCTTAGTAGCTGAAAAAATTGAGTTCTTTCAAAAATAACAATTCTGTGGTTATTGGGGTCATGAGAAATTCTGATATGCCAGAGATTTTGCCTAGTCTGAAGTCTTGCCAGAATTTATACATTTTGGTTTGTAGAGAGGTGAGGAATTCTGCTACGTAGCTGCTATTTTTTTTTTTTTTTTTTTTTGACAGGCAGAGTTAGACAGTGAGAGAGAAAGAAAGGTCTTCCTTCCATTGGTTCATCCCCCAAATGGCCGCTAAGGCCGGTGTGCTGCACTGATCTGAAGCCAGAAGCCAGGTGCTTCCTCCTGGTCTCCCATGTGGGTGCAGGGCCCAAGGACTTGGGCCATCCTCCACTGCCTTCCCGGGCCACAGCAGAGAGCTGGACTGGAAGAGGAGCAACCAGGACAGAACTAGCACCCCAATTGGGACTAGAACCTGGAGTGCTGGTGCCGCAGGCGGAGGATTAGACTAGTGAGCCGCGCTGCCGGCCCTGCTGTGCTTTCAAAACTGAGAGCGACATCACCTTACGATTCCCAAAAATCTTTTCTTATATTCCCATCTTAACTGTAGAAATGATATTTAAAGAAGAAAAATTATATGCAGATATTAAATTGAAATTATTTTATCACTTGATTAGCTGGTTTTTTTTTTGTTTTGTTTTGTTTTGTTTTGTTTTTTTTTGTTTTTTTTTGCCAGGCAGAGTTAAGACAGTGAGAGAGAGAGACAGAGAGAAAGTTCTTCCTTCTGTTGGTTCACTCCCCTAATGGCCACTACAGTCAGGGCTGTGCTGATCCGAAGCCAGGAGCCGGGTACACTTCCTCCTGGTCTCCCATGGGGTGCAGGGCCCAAGCACTTGGGCCATCCTCCACTGCACTCCCGGGCCACAGAAGAGAGCTGGACTGGAAGAGGAGCAACCAGGACTAGTACCCGGTGCCCCGACCGGGACTAGAACCCAGGGTGCCGGCGCCGCTGGCAGAGGATTAGCCTAATGAGCCACGGCACCGGCCTGATTAGCTGCTTTTCAAATTGAGTATTTTATGAATCCAAAATAAAATGTAGTGCTACAAGTAGATAAATACCTGTCTCTTTTTAAAAATAACTGTTAAGGGGGGGGGGGGGGCAGTGCTGTGGTGTAGTGGGTAAAGCTGCTGCCTGCAGTGCCTGAATCCCATATGGGTGCCAGTTTGAGTCCCAGCTGCTCCGATTCCAGTCCAGCTCTCTCTGTGGCTTGGGAAAGCAGTAGATTATCCAAGTCCTTGGGCCCCTGCATCCATGGGAGACCTGGAAGAAGCTCCTGGCTCCTGGCTTCAGATTGGTGCAGTTCCAGCTGTTGTGACCATCTGGGGAGTGAACCAGTGGATGGAAGATTCATTCTCTCTCTCCCTCTTCCCTGGAAGTCTGCCTTTCAAATAAATTAATAAATCTTTTTTAAAAAATAACTGTTCAACAGGTGCTTTGTGAATGTGAAATAAAATGTAACATTAATTATGAAGAAAGAAATCTCAACACATTTCACTGCATAAAACACTGAAGAAAAAATTTTCCCCACAGTTCATCTATGGAAGTAGTAGCAGAAAAATAATCTTGTGAAAGTATTTTCTATTCCCATTCTAGTTTGTCTTTCATAGGATGTAATTACTAAAATGATAATTTTATGATTCTACACTGATATACTAGAAATTATTGGTCCAACAGTTTCTTTTTTTAAATTTTTTTTTGCACTGTGAGTCTGTTTTCCTTCAGAGAGGTGGAAAATGAATTTCTTAATGCTTGACCCTGCAAAAATGTGTAGCAAACTTC